GAGAGAGAAAGAGAGAGTTCGTTTACTTTCAAATCCGTCGGACGATGTAAACGCAGTCTAAGATCGACCCTCTTTTACCCCGAAAGCACATGAAACTGATACACATCACAAAGAGGATTATAAATAGAATAAATAAATGTTATCCAAAAAAATAACTCAAACATTTTTAGAACTAAATTATCGACTAAAAGGTATACTCTTATCAAATATCCTCTATCAAAGATGGAAGATAAATAAGAGGAAATAAAATGTTCGATGTTTGTGTATAAGTGTCTAGAAATAAAATTATATTACCTATAACGTTGTACCTAATAATTAACGGTCTTTTTTATTTTATAAGTAAACAAAATATCGTAAATATTATTTCAATGATGAAAATAAAGATGTTATAAATAATATTTCAGAGCCTGTCAGAATATGACACCGATTAACAATGTTCATTTTGTACATATTCAGAAAGAAAATTAAATAATATAAAATGTATGTTATAATATTGATACTAAAATATAACTTCAATATTCATCTGATTTTCGACCATAATTAAATGGATAATAAAAAATAAAAAATAAAAATAAAAAACTAAATAAATAACGAATTTATTAAACTATTACAAGTATGATTTCAATATGAAGGTTTAGTTTCTCTATTTCTCTCTCTCTCTCTCTCTCTCTCTCTCTCTCTCTCTCTCTTTCTCTACTTTAACTCTTTATCCTTCTATCTCTTTCACCTTTTATAAAATTTTCTTTGATTATGTACACCACATCCCTTTGAACGAACTGCGATTATCTACGACAAAAGAGGAACCACGAAGGCGACAAGAAGTTAAAACAAGTAAAGAAAAAAGAGAGAGAGAGAGAGAGAGAGAGAAATCGAGTCTACAAAGAGAGAATTCCGTCTTCCGCGTTTCTCTTTTGCGATAATGCATTCGAGACCGCAGGATCTCGTCTTTCGCGGCAAAACGAGGACATCTTGCCGCAAACTCTATCTATCTATCTATCTACCTATCTATCTATCTATCTACCTATCTATCTATCTATCTATCTCTATCTTACACTCTATATATTTCTCCATGTACATATACATGTCCTTTTCTTTACCTATGTATCTACAATTGTACGTATACATAAGTCTATAGATATTCATACATAGGAACAATGCAAACCACTGCTATGTAAAAGGTACCTCACCTAAAGTGTTACGAATCAATCGAATAAATAATTAACAATCATTATATTGTACATATGTCATATAAATTATTTGTTCAATAAAAATAATGAAGAAATAAGAATGAGGAAAATATTTTCTATTAAAAAAGAAGAAAAAAAAAACAATAGAAAAAATATTATTTAACTGCAATCTTATATTATATACAAATTATATTACAATAAATTATGCGATTACTTATATACTGTTCTTTTGATAAAAACAATAATATAAGATTTATTTTCTATATAATCATGTGGAAATGAAAAATATACGAATAAATTTGCGACGCGGCTAATTTTAGAGTAATTATTTTATGAAGTTTCAAACTAAACACACTGTAAATATATTTAATGCATGTACTCATATATATTTCGTATAGAAGGGTTGTGGTCATAAAACACGTGCATTCGCGTGGAATCTTTGAATATTGAATTTCTAACCTTAATAAATACACGCAGAGAGAATAAGAGTAAAAGTTAAAAAAAAAATACGTGTGTATAGATTATGTCTATTTTAATCCTAGTATTATCAAAGCTTATAAGTTTTTATGTATTCTTTTTATGAAGTAAAGGAAAAAATAAAATGAACGAAGAGAGATGTAAGAAGAAAAAAAAAGAAAAAATAAATAACAAACTTCCGTTTTCCTTGAAAGTATAACGATCTATTACTTATTACGAGATAAGAAAAAGAAGAGTAACGATGAGCTTAAGATGAGAGCACTTTCTTAGCGCATATAAAATATAATCAACGAAGAGGCTCTTAACTAATATCACTACCACTACTACTACTACTACTACTACTACTAAAAAAAACGATGCTCTTACGCTTTTCGAGGACTTTCGATGGGTTATTAAGCGAGAAACTCTCAAGTGTGATATCGCGACACCGTAACACGCTACGTTTATTCGTATTACGTAGTACAACGTATAGATAGATGAAATGTTTTTGACTAACGCGGTAATGGGCGGACAGTAATCGGCATGAAATCAAGTGATTTATTGAAAAATAAGCTTAGATTTATCAAATTTGTATTAATGACTATGGAGAGTTTTTCATAAACTAGAATCCTTAAAAAGAACACCGTTGTTTGACGTTTAATTTAAATCGATCTAATTCAATGAAATTTAATTCCATGATACTCTTGGAATCTCTGTTATAAAAAGATCAGATGACGTTTAAGGTTATAACACTGTGAATCGCGCAATGAATATTTTTTTCGACACATGCAAACAAAAAATAAAAGTATTAAATAAACGTGTTATGAATCATCAACTTTCTCGCGTATAATGTTTTAGAAACCATAATAATTCTTAGTTAGATTAATATTCTATCTCCGTTTTTAAATGGTAAAGAAATAATGAGAAGTAAACGAAGGTTACAAAATAAACATACATTAAAAAATGTGAACAAGGTGAGAAAAAAAATTAAAGATGAGAAAGGATTTACCATTCCTGCGCCATCGCGCGCGTTTCCTTCAACGAACCGGTGCGTCCTTACGTTTCCGGCATTGTCATGGCTCGTTTCTTCTTCTATTTCTTTCTCTTCCTTTCTTTCTTTCTGCTTTTATCACTCACTGATATTCGAAAAAATCCGTTAATTGACGAGAAATTCTTAGGTATAATATATATATATATTGCGACAAATGTTCTAAAATAATTTCTATATAACAAATGACATTTATTCTTCGAATTTAATTACGATAATATTATTTCCTTGATTATATTCTTAAATTAAAACTATTTAGTATGAAAGAATAAAAACCGTGAAGAAATACCGTACACGATATATGTAGATTACAATAGACGAATATACAACACGACGATAATACACAATAAATATGTATACACGCTCGTGGCGCGGGACTGACTGGCTCAGTCCTTCTCGTATAGCCTGTATCCCCCCACCTTACACCACCCACTCCATCATCCTCCCCGCCACAGCGCCACCTGCCCGCCCACCAACCAATCGCGCTTATCGCTCCGTTGCGTCGCGTATCTGCTCCCCACCTCACCCCACTCGTTAGCTATTTCACCGAAATTTTCATATGTCATATTTTCTGCGCACAAAACAACTTATATACACATTTATATGATATATATACATATATATACATACGAACGTTTTAAAAGGACTGAATATTAACGCGAAGTAAATGTTAAAGGTAAGGGTAACTTATTTTCTGTTGGTAATAAAAGTAAAATAAGGAAAAAATGAAAAAAGTAAAATGGCGAATGATTTTCTTTTGTTTTCGCGCGAAAATATAAATTTTGCGTGATAACTATTAGCAATTTTTAAAAATCTTCTTTCTTTTTTACTGCGAGATGAGTTTTCAACCGATCGACGAGTTTTATTTTTAATCTTCTGAAAAAAAGTGAAATATATCATGCATATATTTATTCGAAAAAAACTCGCATCAAGTTTGACCTATTTTATTCTATCATATATAAATATGCATATATGTATATATATATGATAGAATATATATATATATATATATATATTAATGAGAGCCATAATCTTTTTTTCGACGAACGTCGATCTTTATCGAGCATTATGACGAGTTTGTAAATGCGTAGGAACAGACGTAAATATATAAGTGTATGCATATATATACACGTGTACCAGATATAAAGACAACGTGTTTCTTCCTTTTAGACGTTAAAATTCATCGGTTAAGTTTTCCAATGCGGAAATAGTTATATTTAAACTTCGAACGAGACGAAGTGTCCATGAGAAGACGATGAAGTAAAGTAGGTAAGGATATCTGTTAAAGTTCTTTAGATTATATAAACCCTCGCTCTGTCTTAACGAAACGCGAAGCTAAGCTAAAAGCTAAACTAAACTAAACTTAACTAAACTAAACTAAACCAAACTCAACTAAACTAAGCTCAAATTTTCACCTCCCACGAATCAAATCTCTCATCTCAATGTTACTATTTATACCGTTCTACGATAAAGATATGATGTCTTGATTCGTGCTAGCTCTATTTAACAAAATATATATTTGTATGTATATATGTATATACCATACACAGTCATTTAGTATGTCTATGTATGTATATAATATGTGTGCAAGTAATTGTGGTAGTGAACTAGGTCATAAAATTCAACAAATTAATTTTGATTCGTTTTGTATTACAATTATCAGTATTACAATATAAATTATAAATTATATTTTGTGTTACAGTAATTTTTATTATAAAACAAATCATAAAAGTAATGTTTTCAATTTTTTTTACTTATTGTTAGTCCACTGTCATAATTATTGGTACAATGCATAAATTATATATATATATATATATATATATATACATATACATACATAGAAAGGTATTAAATTTTGTCTTAATTATACTAATTTTCTTTTTTTTCCTTTGTGGAATCGTTGCGAGCGATACGAGTGCTATCAAATTCGACACTAAGTCGGCACCAAATTTTCTAACTTTATACGAAATATCGTGTTATTTTTTTCCTCCTCTCCATTCTTTTTTTGACTTGTTATATTCTAGTTCGTTGAATTTTTAAACAGATCAACTTAAGCTAGTTTAACATTAAACGTACCACGACCGGTTGTACATTACAAATTAAAATTCTGCGTTCAATTATTATTATTAATATTTTATCATCATTGTCGTCTAAAAATTGCTTTATTTATTATTTAAATCGATAAAAATTTATCATCATATGCATTCAATTGTACAAAATATAAATTTTCAAAAATTACTATACACAAGTATACATAAATTATAGATTTTTAGTAATTAACTATTGCTTAATAAAGTAAAAATCATTGCACAATTAATCCTGTTAAAATAAAAATAATACTAGCAATCATCATCATCAAAGAGAAAATTAATAAATGAATTCTTTGTTTGACTTATTGTCAGTAATTTATGTTCAATCAAATTCAATTCAATTTAATTTTGTTCTCTCTAAAGAGTATCTCCCTTTTTTCTTTTTTTTGGAGAGATTTCTCTAATAATAGAGTTCGGATAAATAGACAAAAATTTTAATTACAAAGAAATCGATTAAGAGTTTGTAAAACAATTTACATTTAAAAATTTGAGACGAGCGCTCAAATAAAAATGACCACACGGTTAAATTACATTTAATGCATTCATTCAAACGTTCGTGCATGTATATATGTATTTACGTATGTATGTATGTACGTATGTATGTATGTATATATGTATGCAGGTATGTATGTATGCATATATGTATGCATGTATGTATGTAAATATATATAAGATCAATTATATACATTGTTTATGTACACTGTGAAAAAACGAATGTTTCTAAAGATTCTTTAATCGCACTGTTACTTTCATTCATCGCACCCATCAGGAACTTCGTTTTTTTTTATTTTTTCACTTTGGGAATGCAAGAATACAACGTTTATAAAATAAACTTAAAATTAATAATAATAATAATAATGTGTTTGGTTTTTTTAATCTTGCAGCTTATCCTATTTTTTAACGTAAAGTAAATAAATCATCGATAAGCATTATTAACTAAAGTTTACATATGCCTGTATGAATTATTATTATATAAAAAATAATAATAATAAAAATAAAAGATGAACAAAGGTAGCAAAAACTAGATTGTACATAAAAATGTCAGTATATTTACATTATTAAGAATATCACGAACGTCTCTTTAAAGATAAATTATTTTTATATCTTATTAATAATATTTATCATCTTTCTAATGCGTATCTTAAAATTTATCAATTGAACGTGGTTATACCGATGAAGCAACAAATTATAAACGAGAATAAATCTTATTAGAAAAGAAATTGTTTTTTTCATAATAGAGAACACTTCGGCACCATGTTAATCAAAACTTCTCCCTCCTCCCCTCTCGTCACCCACATTATCTTTTTCAACTTGCTCACATTTGTCAACAAAAATTTCTTTTTCTTTTCTGTTTTTATTATTTTCTTCCTCCTTTTTTTATTTCAAATAAAATGCAAAGCGTCGTCTTTTGTATTTACTTCAAGAAAAAAAAAATGTTGATTTTCTCGAAATTCGCATACTGTACATATATATGTGCTCTTGTGTTTATGTATAATAGTGTGAATAATCAATAATTTGTTCGTTCATATAACGTAACTGTCATGATAAACTCTTCTTCAAATTAGACATATAGAAACTTTTTGGTGACATTTTAGGTAGCAGCGTGTCTTCGAGATTCGTCCAAATTCTTTCTCAAATATGACATAAATTCTACTAAGGCTATGGATAATGATTTATCCACAACTTTTTGAGGTATCCAACCCTTTAAATTGGTATTGAGGATCCATGTGAAACGGCACTTGCTACTATCACCGTCTGCTAATTTCTCGGCAGCCCAACAACTTACACCATTTTCACCCCTTTAAAAAAAAATAAACAAATAAAATATCAAATATAAAAAATAATTATGAATATTAAAAATTAAAATTACGTTAAATATGGATTCATGAATTTTTTAATGTGTAACTCACCTGACAACGTTTTTTCGACTTGGAAATGATTTTAAGGTCACTGACATACCGCTACTTATGTAATAATTACCAAACTTATTACGGTGTCTTAAAATAATAAAATCTCGTGCACCAATCAGTCCACCACCCTGCGAACCCGTAGCTTGATAAATTATATCTGTGTTCTCGTCGATGTGCTATATAAAAGTAATGTAGCAATTCTCGTTAATTATTTTTATATATTTATGTTGATAAGTTGAGTTAATGAAAATTAATAGGAAAATTTTAGTACCTGCAATTTCCTCGACTCGGTTACAAGTTTATTCCATGTTGGTGATGCTTCGACACCGTCGAACAACCAATTGACGAGCATACTGGCTGGTGCATCCACTATACCCTTAAAAATAATAATTATTATTTTTAATATATTATTTTCTTTATATTATAAATATAATTTTTTTTATACATATAATATAATATTATTATATATATATCTGTATGTTTTATAATAATATTATAAATTTTACTGTAATTTTCATTATTTTTCCTTCTGGTCGCTTGGTTTGCATATACGAAATTATATCACCGCACGACATTGTAGTTTCTATTTTCCACTCTTTGGACGTTAATAAGTCATGACTATCTTTTAATAACTTTTTAGCCGTCATTTTATATTCTTCAATCTGAAAAACAAATTTATAAAATAAGACTATACGCATATAGTCTTATAGGCGCATTATATGCGGTAGTAAAAATTACAAAAAATATTCTATATATGGTGTCAAACTTTACTCATAGTCAGGAATGTGCTCTGAATCATATAATCAAATCTTATTACTTGGAATTGTAGGTAATAAAAATTAATACACTAAACTCACTGGTAATTCTGTAGAATCATTTGAACATTTTTCTATTTGATTATTTTGGGAATCCTTTGATTTATCGTTCCCTTTATCACCGAAGAAAAAATTTTTAATAAACTTAACGTTACAAGCATTAAGAATAAAAGATGTCATTATTATATATTCGTAAAAAATTATTTCAAATAAAAAAAATTGATAGGACTGAAATGATTTAAAAAAAATATAACTTTTACACAAATTTTATTATCTATTTATAGTTATCAATTATTGCACTTTGTAAAATAACTTACTGATAGTTCAACAGTCAACTAAAAGTAACTTGATTCTTTGATTTCTTTTTATACTCCTAACCAATATAATGACTCATATTACTTTGTGTACCTTTAAAGGTGTTTGATACTTTTTATAACCAACTTTAGCGACAATTTTCTTTTAAATAATTAGTTACATATTACACGAAAAAAATTTCTATATAAAATCTCTTAAAAAATGTTGAATATAAAATTAAGAACACAAACCTTATCAGCTGTTAATTTTGATATTGGCTTATGAATAAAGATTTCATTTGCAGTATCCTGTCTCCTAACAAGTTCATCTTCGTTATCCGAGTGAGCTGGAGAATCCATTGGTGTATAAAAGTTACGTGGCGGCTCGATTGAACTGTATTGATGTGGATTCGCGGTGGTAGCTTGAATGAGAGGTGCTCTTTCCGCGTTTGACATGTCTACAAAAAATTTAATAATAAAATATAGATATTGTATGTGTGTATTAATTTGAAATTTGTGGTTTGAATAAAAGATTGTATTTATGTTTAATTAACTGGACTGACCAGTTACTATCAAAACTCTTGCTTGATGTATTTTTATATCACACACAGCACACGTGTAAGGAAAATACTTCTTTATTCAACTTATCGGATTAGTAACAAAGAAAGTGAATACAACGCATCAAAATAGGACAAGAGAATAACCAAGTACTGAAGTAGACGTTCAACTATTTTTATGACCATTTAAAATCCTAAAACCTTTAGAAGGAAGTAAAAATGGGGATAGAATTGTTCCTTTAGTCCAATCCTTTCCTCTTCATCTAACTCTAAATAATAATCTTTTTTTTCGAATAACAGTGTCATTTTTGGCAATAGATTTATCGCTAACAATACACACATATCAATTCGTTGTTACTCTTTTGAATTTCGTATGTTTTTCTGTTTTCTTTGTTTTCTATCTCGACTTACTTCGTATCCAATTTATAACATGTGTTTCTTGAGGTATCACGCGGAAATCGAAGTACCAAGCTTCTGCCCAAGAAAGAATGAAAGACGTGAGTATCAGTAGAACTTGAAAGACTGGCTGGTTGCATGCTAACCACTGAAATTAATCAAGCATATACAGATGTTTGTGGAGCTTATTATCATTTGATTATTTTTTCTTTATAATTATAAATCGAGTTAACTTACATCGAAAAGAAATACTTTGGCGAGTAAAAAGGCACACGTAGAGGCAGTCGTTAACTATAAACAAAAATTATAGTTTATTTTTAGATCGGAGAAAAATTTTTTTATATATGTTATTGGCAAAGTAGGAAATGCCTAAGCATTGTTGATAATGCCTGGCGTTTTTAGGCAATGTTTATACGACGAGTGTTGGTTGTGAAAGAAAACGAGGAAGGCGGAAGATAACGGGGAACGGTGAAGGGACACGAAAGACGACGATAGACGATGAAGAGTCGAGTACGCTAATTATGATCGTTATCTTCGGATTACGGCGTAAAGAGTAATACCTAACATCTCGTAGCGATAGACTGTGAATTTAGATTATAGATGCTTGCCGTTTTATCTCATTATATTCTTAAATCGTTTAATAATTATTGTTAAACGTTATTAAATAAATAAATCAAATTACTACTTTCTTAAATAAATAAATACAAAATCTTACATTATTTAGGCAATGTGTGTTGAGAAGAATACATTATGTATTGGGCAAATGCGCACACACACACAAGCGATCGGCTGATCAAGCGAGCTGAAAGGAGAAACGATAAAGGGGAGCTCCTTCTGTTGATTTCTGGGCTTTCTCAATAAGAAAAAAGGTTCTGATAAGGTTATTATATAAATAACGTGTATTCCTCAAAAATACAAATGTTATTTTGAAAAAATAATGAGTGTTCAAAAACGAATCGGAGATATATTTCTTACTTTGCTGGTTTCTCATTTGGCATTCTACAGCATGTCGAGGAAATGTGTGATATATGAATACATTTGCCGATAACATATACATAAGTTAATTATTTTTAATCTTTTGAACAAGCATTTAAAATAAAATACTTAAAATACTGTAATAAAATAATTGAAATATTTTTATAATATCTTTTTTATTTTTACTGCAGTTAACTTAAAATTTTGTGCACGCTCATCAAATAAATAAAAAACAATTTTTATTTTATAATTTTTTGTTATAAATATCAGAATAAATGGAGAGAATGTTTACTTACGGCTACGAAGATCCAATGATTTAAATAGAGCAATGCATAAAAGAGCAACAACACCGTGAACCTGCATATGGCTGCCATCTGAGAAGATGAAATCCGTAAATTTCTGTTTCCTCAGCAAGAATAACGAAATATTACGACGAAATAAATGTCATTTTGTATTTAAATACTCTAATTTCTTTTCTTTCTTTCTCTATGTCTCTTTAATTGTTTATTTTTTATGTAATATTAAAAATGTATATTTACCACAATGTCGAAAAGGGACGTTTTTATGTGATAATGTACAACCTGGTTGAAAAATGCTGTTTCCAAATTTTCACCAGCTATCTGAAGGAACAAGAGACCATAAATAAAATGTTATACATAAAGTTAATTAATTATTGAAGCATAAAATTGTGATTACAACATAATACATAATAGGATAATTTGAAAATTAGCGCCATTCTTTCACTTTAAAATTTTCATTAAAAATATGAAATTTTATGCAATTAAAAAATAAAAAAAATATATTATTCATTGTATTGTAAAAGTTCACTTAATTTATATATTACTAATTTTCTCAAATTTCAAACCTTTTTATCAATTATGCAAATCCATAATCAAACATAATGAAATACATTACCCAATTAATTTATAAAATATAATAACAAACTATTGATTGCATTTGCCTAATTATAATATCAAAAGAAATTTTTGGTTGAATTTAACATTGGGTCAAAGATACATTTAATTTTAAGAAAAATCTTTCCCGCGCTTTCCAATGTAACGAAACAAAAAATAAAATAGAATCAATCAAACAATTTTAAATATTTAGAAATAATACTCACCATACTACAAATAAGCCACATAAGCACGGTCAAAAGAAGATCAAATGTTATGAATAAACAAAAAAAACGGCGGACATTAGACATCCTGCCGCCTTCCCTAGCACCAGCTATTAGATCTTCGCTGAGGACAATATCTGACGTTCTCGTAAAACTTTGTTGCGTGTAAGAACTTCTTTGAGAATTAATTGAACCGCTTAGGATGTTCTCCACCGCAGTTCTTATATTTTGTACATCATCTTCTTCCATCCTGAAATAATTTTTTTGGAAAAACGCAACGACGGAAACCTGTTGAACACCATAAATAAATTATTTTTATTTTCTAATATTTTCCTCGATCGAGGAACAATAATAAATCATACGAAACTGTTACCACATCTTTTTGACGCGACATAATAAATTTCTTTTAAATATGTAACTTTGACAAAATAATTTTTATTCATGCTTTTTATACACGTATATGCATGTGTATGTGTTTACACCACATACTTCCGACATTAAAATTGATTATTTCAGATTAAAATAAAAGTAACTTTAAACTTTAAATTTACAATTTAGGAGGGCTATCAAAGATCTAAATGATTTCATTACTGTAAACATTAATTGGAATTTATTTAGAGTGTGTGAGTAAGCAAAAGCTTATCTCCAATCGGAAGTATACTCTTGTTATATAGATAACACATAAAATAGTTACTTTGTTACATCATTACATTGTATGCATTTGAGGTAATAAATTCGATACTACTCTTCCTCTTACAATAAATTTGTGCTTTTAATCTAATCATTTGTTTAGTTTAGTTATATGAAAAGACAAGAAAGCCATTGTTCCTGCGATAAAGTTAGTACATTAATATGATACGATTGTAAACGAAATGTTATTTTTTAATATAAACAGAGATAAATAAACGTTAGGATTAACAATAAAAATGCAACAGTTGATTTTATTGAAAAATGGTGGATACAAGTTTTTGTTGAATGATTTCTATTCGTACCACTATCTTACCCTCGATTAAATTATATCATTGTTTAATTGACAGAAATTCACGCGTCGACATTAAAAGAATAATGTTTAAATTATAAAACGCGCGACTGATCTTCAAGTAATAGAAACGTCAATCGAAAATGTAAATATAAAAAGAAAAAAAAACGGCGTTGATAAAATAATTTAAGTTATGAAGCTGTCATTGACATTGCATTCTAACCTAAAAATAAACATTCTCACATTCATATCGGAACGAACATTAACTTCTATTTTGTTTTTATTTTTTTATTTTCATAAACGAAATTTTGTTGGTCAATTTTTCATCGGACTTGAATCACGTACACAATGAAATTCAATGGTAAATAAAAAATAAAATTATTAATAGCAATTAAGAAGACCCCTCCTTATTCGTTTATAGATAATACAGAAGAAGAATTTTAAATTGTCTTGTGTACATATTTATTTCTTTTTGTTCGTACCTTTTAGTTTCACACCGGACCCTCATATATCCGGTCGAGATAATTTATTGTAGCAAGCTTCGTGCCCGCACATTCTAAAACGTTCCTTTCTTCGAAGATCGATCCGAATTTGTCGATCTCGTTGATGTTAACACTTTTCATAGACTCACTTTTCAAGCATTAATAGGGTTCACCAAAGTAAACACACAAGCGCATCTTACACCCACGATTTAATGTTAACTAAATATCCCTTCGTATAAGGAAAAATACTTCGACTGATTTTCGCTAGGTGTCGCTAGACGTAGACCGAACTTCTCCGAGGGTAAACGATTATGACCGAATTCTTTTCTCTTTTAAATATATTATATTTCTGTTTAATATACAGAGTGTTCAAAAAAACCATTCAATATTTATATAGTATATAGAATAAGATTATGTCTATATCTAAGAAATGTTTATATCTTAAAAACGGTTGACCTTTCGATCTATGTTTACTAAAGATTTTTTACTCAATTCAGTGTATCCTACATACCACATAAATATTGAATGGGTTTTTTTTAACACCCTGTATATTTAAATATATATCATAATATATATTGTTATAGTGTTTTATCGTTATTACATTTATAGTATGAACGTATAATTATCCTTCTTACTTTTATAGTAATATTTTTTTCTTTTTTGCATCATTAATATTATGAAAAAATATATTTTTAATATTCTTAACATTTCTTACATTTATATACATACGCAATTAAATTACTATTTTAAATTCATGTTTATTTAAAAAGCTTGCATTGAACTATTTTCATCAAGGATTAAGAAATATTATATCCTTTCTTTTTATATATAACTGTAAAAAATTAAATATATTCCTAGTAACAAATACGGTTAAAACTTACAAATTCGTATAACTGCTATTCTTATGTCGACTGGTACGAACTTGATTGTATATTTGATTGATCGTACTTTCTTTTTAGTTTATCCTTGTCTCGTAATATTAAATATCATCAGATAGGAAGGATTAAATTTAGCAGTGCAGCTTCTGGTTCTATCTCAAATTCTGCTGATGTTCCTAAATTAAATTGTACAGCAATGCCACCATCTAAAACCAATCCTCCGTCGAAACACAATGATTTTACTGTTAATTTTTTACAAATGTTATATCGTTGTAAAGTCTTTGGAACTGGAAGTACTTTTGTTACCATCATATCTCTTATAGTGTAACAAAGATTTTGTTCTTCTAAAAAGCAAAATTAATATTAAAATAGATATAATAAAAGAAACGTGTACTTCTAATATAATTGTTACACATTGTACCTGGATTAAAATGCAAGCTGTTATTAAACTTGGTACATATTTGATTTATTTCTTCATCTGTAAAATTCTTTCGGTCATCAACCAAACCGAGTATTTGTTGTACAAGTTGTGGGCTAATGCTGTTTATTGCCTTGTACCAAGCTGTCGAGCCTGTGCCCGTACTTATACAAAGACCAGAGCTTTTAATTTTATAGAAATTCTCCTCATTATCAAATTTGATCAACAAAGTACTTATCTTTGCTGCCAATACTTCGGCTGCGAATACCTGTGAACAAAATATTTACATTACACAAATTAAATGAAATGTGTATTATAAGATATATTAACGTAAGGCTTAAAATAATGTTTAAGTAACGTACTTCATTGAGTGCTAGCCAAGGCAACTTCCTTTCATTTAATTGATCTGAATTAATTGGTTTCAGTTGGTCGTTGCAAAAAAATCTGTTTGTAAAAGATTCTATATTTAAGATAAAAAAAATGTATAGAATTTAAATCGTACTTTAATTCAATAATATACCTTTCAACTCCAACAAGACGACCTTCCTCATGCATATGAAAAGGCAATTCCCAAATTCCTTCACCTTTCAAAGTAGTTCTAATTCTAGATCTCATTAATACATCATATTGTCCTGCTTTTAATAATTTAAAGATTTGCGATATATTTTTGGTATAATAAGATGGTAACATCAAGTAACCCTCTGAATTACTGGGATTAGAATTAATTCCTATTATGGGTGTTTTGTTATCGAATATTAAGTTAGCAGCCAAAAGGAACGTGCCATCGCCGCCAATGGGCAAAACTAAATCGGCCCAGACTACATCAGATCTGCTTATGCTGCTTCTAAAAAAGATAAATTATAAAAGATCAATGAATATTTCTAAAATGATTAAAGTTTACTCAACTCACCTATCAACTTTCTTGTATTCAATGTTTAGTTTGTTAAGTACCTTCATTACCTCACTTTCGACATTTTTAGTAGAATGATGACAGGATAACATTGACTCATAATTGGAACCTCTTCGTAATAATTTATTTTTAAATTCTTCTTCGTTCAAACCAGGCTCTCGTAATTTTTCAAAATTATATCGTGTTAATTTGGAGACTATGAGAACTCTCTTAGGAACAAAACTCGATGCATTTCGTATGAATTCTTTCAAGTTTTTACGATTATACGTTAATTGAGATTGAAGATAAATCTGCTGCAAAGTTCCTAAAAAGATGCAACGATTCTTCATTCACGTGTCTTCTAAGCACGTGTTCTATGTTATAAGTCTAAAGGTTAACGTTCAATCAATTTTTTTACAAGGACTGTTTTAACAAAGATTTTATGTTTACTAATTCGATCAACTCATTAACGAAATCAAATACTTTGACACATTCATATGTAAATACATAACCATATCTGTAATACGATTTTATTGATCTGACAAGCAAAATTTATTTAATTATTAATAATATTAGAATGACAGTGATTCTCATTTTGAATATTGACTATTTTATTTTTTAAAATAAAAATATTAATCGTTGTAGTAAAAAAAAAAATCAAAAATGTTCAAGTTGTTTATTTATTGTAACTAATAAACAAAAACAAATAAATTATATATATAAGATATAAGAAAGGTAATTATTAGGCTTATCGATTACCTAGAATATTATTTTGAAACCGATAACACTTGTGAATTATGAGTTAACAATACATATATGTGTTGTATAATAAAATGTTAACAACAAATTGAGGCAATAAAAAAAAAAATAAAAAAATCTCTTTCTCACCGACAGTAGTGTTCCGAACACAGCCAAAAAACGTCATCGCACACGCCGATTGACGTGCTCGCGATGTTTTACGAGAGTTCTTGTTAACGTTAGACTCATCGAAATATTTCGAGAGAAACGATGGAAGCGCCCCACGGCGGACACTCAACGAAGTTTTTAACCCTCTCTCCAAAGGTAAGGTTAAATTCATTACATATTACACGCGCCATTTTTATGATTTTGTTTCTTGATGCTATTTCATCGAAATCGAAATAATAATTAATTTCATATTTTATCGCCTGCGCAAAATATACTTTGCACAGAACAAACAATGTAAGTTTTTTTATCTCACTTCATCAGTGAACCTTCCATTTATGAGGACTGACAATTAATAATACTACTACGTAATTAATGGGAAGAACAAAAAAAATGATAAGAAAAATGAAAAGAAAATATTTTAATGGCTTTTTTCGATTCTCATTTCATTGCTACTTTATAAAACCTTTTAAAAGATATCGTTTTGTTTTCACGAGTGTGTATGTAGTAACGTTATTAGAAATATTTACAATGCTTAGAAAAATATTAGGAAATAATAAACACGTTAAAAAATTTTAATATATTTGCGATATTTGCATGTACCGAAAATGGTACGCATAGCAGGGTAAATGTTAAGATAAATCAAAAATTAATCAAATGATAAAACGTAAAATAAATGATCCAACTGTACGGATACACGCTTCGCTTACACTTTATTAATTCATTTGCAATACATTAATTAAGTTTGTTTAAATAGCATCGAGGCTACCTAACGTACGCCTTCGTTTATACTATAGACAATCATCTAACTTAGATCTTTTTCTCACTTTCTGAATTTTCATTTCTTATTCTTTCTTTCTTTTTCATGCACACACGCAATAAACAAGCACGCATGTTATCTCGCGTTCTCTCTCTCTCTCTTTCTTTCTCTCTCTGTGTTACCATCTCACTTCTACGTGTCCAGCTTTATGCGCGCGTGCGCTTTCTTCGTTTTTTTAAATTTATATAT